TTCATTATCGCCGCCCAGTCTCATGATGATGTTCGTCAACGAACGGTGTCAGCTCTATGGGCAACTACTACTACCACTACCAACAGCAACTGCAATCGCAGCTGAAAATCGCAGCAAGGAAAAGCGGAAGATCAACAGCAACAACAACAACAACCACAACAACAACAACAACATCACATACACGCATGGGCCTGGGCATTAGCCCGTTTGTCCCGCCGTCCATTCAACCAGCGCCATGTTCATTTAAATCTACAACATTCGGAGGGACAACTTGAGTTGGGGACGTCGCGACGGCAGGCAACAACCTGGCTGGACCTGGTATCGGTGCAGGTACTGGTTACTTTTGCCATGTGAGAAAATTGCGCACTTGAGCTGGCTGAGAACCTTCGGGCGGCAGCGGCTGCGACTGCGGCAGCCAAGATGTTGGCTGGGATCGCTTTAACCCCGTTGCACGTATCAAGTGAAAATTCCTGGCTGACTTGGGCTCAGTTCGGGCCTGCGAGTGGAATGGCCCAGCATTGGATCGAGCAGCTTATCGCGAATTCATTATTGAAATAATTCTTAACTCTTAAGCCCTATAACGGTAAATAGCCCAGGGATCTAGACAACAACTTAATGAAAATTGAATTTTATGTTTATTACGCAGTCCGGCACTTCAACTCAGTCCCAGCCAGCCAGGCAGCCAAACAGCAAGCCAGCCCTCCACATAACCTTTTAAATAGTATGCCAGACCGGACCGGTCCGGTCCCAACCAGATGCCAGATTCTAAATGCTATTTGGCGGACCTACTCGCATAGGCCATAAGACGCGACCAAACCGAAAGATAGCGGACCATCGTCCACCATTGCCAGCGTTTTCCTGTGGCAACAACTTAACGGCAGGGGGGCTTGTGCAACGGCAACATGTTTGCTTGATAAGTGAAATAAAAGTAATAGAATCCAATCCAAAAAAAGTACAATGCATATGGCAGACCCTTCAAATACACTACTAGATTAACCTTATGCATATTGAAGGGTGTCAAAGGTACTTTCGGATTGGAGAATATAGTTTATGGTTTTATCTATTTCTATTATTTACATCTATTTCTATTAAATATTGATTATTCTATGAGAATATATATATATTTTTATTTATTTTATTTTTATATAATTTGTCTTGTGTCTTTATAATTTTAAAAATTTTAAATAAATATTATTATATATTATATATTATTATATATATATATATTATATATTAAATAAATATTATTTTAAATAATATTATATTATAAAATATTTTTTATTTTATTTGTATAAAAAAAAATATTTATTTGTTTTTCTATTTTATTTACTCTTTTATTACTGATTATTTATTACTGATTTGTCTCTATTTGTTTTTTTCTTCAAATAAACAGATTAAGAAAACAATGAAAAATATTATGAAAGTATATGGATCTTAAATGTTTCATTCTTCTGCCTTATAGATTAAATAATTATTACTTTAGTATCTTTAAGTATATATCTATATAAGATCTCATATAATACCTAATTGTGTTGCATATTGCATAAGTATTTTCATTGAGCCGGACTATCACATCATAGTCCAAGGGACAGCGACATTTAGAACCCGCCAAAGAACCAGGCGAGTTGTTTTACACACAAACAGGTACACACACACAAACACACTCACACACATATGCACACACGCACATACATGGGCGCACAATTCATGAAACAGCTTGGTGCAACTAGGAAGCAAACTGATCTGGCCTGCGAGCTAGAAAGACCTTGGTATGGGGCATGCGGCCTGAGCCCAATGCAACGAGCAACGGCAACCTGCCACACGCGGCCTACGTAAGTGGCAAGATCGCACACAGCCGCCCGAGCTGCCACTAAAGGATGCCAAGCGAAAGGTGGGCAGGTAGATACACACACACACACACACACACACACACACATGCACACAGAGAGGCATACACATGTGCGCATAGGTCCAACGGGCTGCATGTGGGATGGCTATTGCTGCCGCAGTTGCTGCTGCCGCGGCTGCTGCTGATGCTGCTGCCATGCCCCCAAGTTGTTGCATTGATTTAGCAAACATGCATTTTTATAGCCTTACAACGCGCCCAGGCAACAACAAGTTTCTCTATTATTTATTCCAAGCTGGCGGCCACAGTCCACGATTGCACTGTTTCTATTTTCTACTCTTTTCATACCCTCAGCCCACTGAAAATGGTTACAAAGGGTATAATAGTTTTATGCTCATGTATGCAACAGGCAGAAGGCGCCATTGTCAGACGAGTAGATTCATGTCCGACTCCCTGAGTGTCCGAGACTATAAACGTGAGAACATTTATTTTGACCATAGCTCTTCATATTGCCCACGCAGATCAAATTTGTTTCAAATTATTCATAAAATGTCCCTTTTTCATTAAATTTATCAGAATCAATTTCAACATCTGTTTTTTGTATCATATCTGAAAGCTATAAACACAATATTTGGAGATGGGATATTCAAGAGTATATACAGATCCTAATTATTTCGCTTTAGCCAAAATTCAATATACCCATTGAAGTTATAGCCTTAGTCTTCGGCATTTGCATATATTTGAAAGCCGTATTCATGCGCTGAATATTTCAAAAAGATCGGACAATAAGCACCGATGCAATTCAAGATCACATTTCTAAAAGGCTGATGCTAAGAAAAGGCAAAAACGCTTACGCCTGGCCCGGGTTCAGGGTATCTCCCAGTCGGACACGTCCGACTGAAGCATTTTAACATGTTTTTTTCCAGATCTTACCCGCTCCTCTGATTATTTTGATAGCGCTCGGCGCGCAGCTGCAGCAGCCAAGACCGCTCCCACCTGTCCCCCTGGCCCGCCCCGCTAGCTGGATTAAAGTGTTATTAATGTTTATTATGCCTGAATGAGTTTTAATGTTTGCTGAAGTTATCATTAAAATGTTGTTAAAAAAATTTGAATACCATGTGAGAAGAAACCGCGCCATTGCGATGATCAAAGTGAAAAACAGAAAACAACGAACAACACTCCACTGTCCACAACTTGGCTACGATTTGGTCAACAATGTCTCTGGCCTCACTGTAATTGGCCAACGCCAGCTCTTGGCTCTCAGCTCTGAGAGCTGCCCCCGAAACCAAGTTGAAACCTGGGCAGGAAGAGCGTGTACTTTATTTTGATTGGAGCTGCCATGGAATTTCTTTTGTGTGTTCGCCAGAGATTTTTTAATGATCGGTGACAGGATTATTAAAGTCATTAAGCGGCCACTTGCAGTTGTTGTTCAAATCGAGTTGTTGTTGTTGTTGTTGTTTCTGGCTTGTTCTCAATGCCGGGCCTAATAATGTTAACTGTAACTGGCAATGGCAGCAGTAAAAGTTGCATCTACCGCTAGTATGCTGATCCTCCATTGATGCCTCTGAGGTGGCTTATATATAGCCAGATCGTGATCATTGACATGCCAAATAGAATTATGAATTTCATTTAATAAGTGGATTATTTTTCCAAGATCTAAACATGTATTCTATATGCTTGAAATATTTAATTGGCAAAATCTGGCTGTCTTTCGAGTACGCAAGTCGAATGTTTAACAGAATACGTATGGAGTTTGAACCAATAACTTTTTATTTATTGGCTTCGTTTTGTGAAGCTAGTTTTCGTATTTTCGGTTCAAACGCTAGTTAATTGTGATTTAAATGAAGCTATGCCAATTATTAATTTAATATAATTCGAAAGGTATTTTCAGGTCAACTACTTTCGACTACACCTTATTTAAATAGTGGAGTTTGAAGAGGAAAACCTTAGGATAAATATTAAAAACCTATGTATTTATCTATCTATTAATTCATTTATACACATTTAGCATAGCTTGCATAAGTATCCATTTCTGTGCTCTTGTAACTAAGAGATTAAATCAAATACTTTTAATTTTCTATCATATATATTTTAGGTACTTATTTCGGTTTCAAATTTTAGACATCACTCTAACGCCCATTTTCCGTTTTAATCTACTCGTACTATAATTTGCAGAGGTATTTAAGATCAGTATACCGAAAACAAAATAATTTCATATTAACTCCTTTCAACATTTCAGAACTGCGTTTAAACTCTTCATAACCCCATCGTACTGTGCAGTCACTTGGATGACCAATCAGTCAGTCAGTCAGGACAAATAGTTTTTCATCTTATATTCATTACATATTCTAAACATCAAATAAACATCAAAATTTGTACATATTTTAACTTTCACAACCTTATGTAATTCATAGTCATGGGCATTTTTATATTGACAACATGTAATTATAGGTCTAGCACATTCCTGAGCTTCGATATATATCTATAGTTGTGCAAATTGCACAGCATTGCACACATTTTGGTATTCGGAAATAAGTCCAGTCTGATAACTAAACCTATCCAGTGCTAGACACAGTGACTCTTGCAATGAGCAGGATACTTTGACTAATAAACCCGGCTCCACTTGGGGTTCGAAAACGTTCTAGGGAATGTTCAACCTATTTATACTGCGCTGTGAAGTTCGTTGGCTACGCACCACCAAAGCAGGATATACAGCGATATCCATACCTATTTTGGTCTTGTTTGGTGTTTATTTTTTCCGAGTTATTGTCCCCAATGGCCTTTCACTTAGCCTTGGTAAGAACTTTTCGGATTTTACACCCGGTGAGTTTCTTAGCGTGCTCCAAATATCTTTCAACGCCAGCGAAGCGACAGCAAAGACAATGATAGCGGACGCCGGAGGATCCACAAAGCTGTTGCTGATTCAAATTTTATATTTTTAGTTTACGCTATAATTTACAGTACCTTTCTTACGTCTGTATTTGTGAGTGGCATCTTGAATGGGCAGCCGCCATGCTTGTTATATAATCCTCTTTTCAATTGGCACAATGGATCGACAAGTTTCTGGATGCAATCGATCCTCGAACTCATAATGCTGTCTCTAACGGTGTTAACAGTTCTGCTTTGGGATACATATCCTCTCATATTTATAATTATGATGCGCGCTCACATCGATGTGCTGAGGGACCGTATTCGAAATCTGCGCACTGATCCACATAAAACCGAGGCTGAAAACTATGACGAACTCGTCTGCTGCATTCTGGACAACAAGCTTATTTTGAAGTAAGACAATCTTTCGTTTCCATTAATCTTTAACTAATGTGATCTGTCTTTGTCAAGATACTGTAAAATTATGCGTTCAGTTATCTCTGATATCATTTTACTACGTTTTCAACTACTTAGTTGGCGTAGTTCTTTCTGGAAGTGACTATGATTAACATTTTATATTTCTGGGATTTCATACATGGAATTTCGTCGATTATTTATCTAACTGGTATCTTGTTGGAATCTTTTCCCTGCTGTTACCCAAGCGATTTACTCTCTGAAGATAGCAGGGACTTGTCGAATCTATTGGCTCAATCGAACTGGATCAGTGCTGAGCGCAAACATGATATTCTTGATGATATTCATACAGCACGTGCAACGGCCGATAGAGTTTATAGCCGGTGGAATATTTCCTTTCTCAATGAACAGTAATATTACACACCTTAAAAGAGTACTTAGATGTTTCAAACATATTACTTTTGATGATTCAATGAAATTTTCAGATGGCCAAGTTTGCGTTAAGCGTTATGACCATAGTGCAGCAAATGAATCTGGCTGATCGACTAGAATAGGCTTAGCATTATATATTGGCCGGCAGCATTATGAAATTAATTGAAATTCATTACCCTTGCAGAGGGTAATATAATTTTGTCTCAAAATGTGTTACGCATAGAAGGAGACATCTCCGACCTCATAAGGTATATGTATTCTAGATCAGCATCAACAGCCAGGTTGATATAGACAAGTCTGTCGGTCCGTTTATCTGTTTCTATGCGAAGGTCCTATTTTCTGTAGCAGGCACGACATATGTCGGAAACGGCTGGATTGGACCAGAAACAATCTGTCGAAAAGTAGGTTCTTGTTGGGAAAACTTTTTTGTTTTTCAAGATATTTTAGCCAGATTCGTCATGAGTATTACAAAAAGATTCGGTCTGCAAGGGTGTTAAATCTTCGGCATGCCGAAGATAGTCCTTCTATCTCGTTGTTACTTATTTACTTTATAAGCAATATATGGTATAACGAATTATAAAATATTAAACTTAAATTGAAATAAATAAAAATTTCATGTCTGTATTCATGAACCACTGAATAAGGAAATGAAATGATTGATTTGAATGACGACTCGAATTGAACTATTGAATTTATTCACCAACCTGAACTAGAAGTTCCCACTCTATTAACACTATCTTTTATTAAAAGTCTAGCGCTTTGCTGAGGCTTAATATATGTACATCTATAGTCGTGCAAATTAACAGCTGGCATAAGCCACAGCCATAGCCTCCTGTTGTCTTTCTTGGTGATTACTATTGCAGAGCTGTACGCACCCGTTGGCCTTGTGCTTAGCCTCGTTAAGAACTTTTCGAATTTAACACCCGGTGATTTTTTTGACGTACTCCAAGTAACATTTAACGTCAGTGGTGTGACAGCAAAAACCATAGTGGTTTTATTTTTGTTTTCACGAATGAATCAGGTGAGGTCATAGAAAAAAATGTTTCGTATGGTAAACTTTGAATCAACAATTATTCTTTAATTTAGCTGTTGATACACTGAACCCAATGAAAATGGGTAGTATACCCACGTGAACATATTTCATTCAATATATTTAATTTAATATCTACAAAATCTACTACCGAAAATTTCATTAAGATCAGTTAAAAACACAGAGGCTGTAAGCGCCAAAACAAGGGCATTTTCTGTATTTCTGCGTGCGTTTCTTTTGCAAATTATATTAGTAGAATTTTAATTGCGATTTTACTATATATGTATGTGCGCTTGTGTTGATATTTTAAGTCAGTTCTTCCCACAAATCTAAGTGTAAGTAAGTGGATATGGAATGGAGTGATGGGAAACAGTGTGTTCGGTTAATGGGGCGAGTTCAAGTCTCGCAGAGAGAGTTACTTTTATACCCCTGTAGAGGGTATTATAATTTTGTCATGAAGTGTGTAACGCATAGAAGGAAACCTCTACGTTACAAAAAAATATATATATTCTAGATCAGCATCAACAGCCGAGTTTATATAGCCAAATCCGTCTGTCCGTCAGTCTCTTGCCATGCGAACTAGTCTCTTATTTTTAAACTTTGCATAGGTCCGTCTTTCTGTTGCTGGCAGTACATATCTCGAAACCGGCTGAATCGGACTACTCTATCATATAGCTGCCATAGGAATAATCGGTCGATAAGTGGGGATTTAATTGGCAAAATTTTCTGTTTCCCAAGATATTTTCATCAAGCTCAGCATTTACGAGCTTCACTATTCTCACATAACTGCATATGTCTACAAGGGTATTCAATGTTCGGCGTGCCAAAGAGCAGTTTCTTTTAATTATAAGCCTGGCCAGCTGGCCTAATCTCAAAGCCATTTGCCTTTGGTATATCGGCATTCCGAAATAAGTCCAGTATGATATAACAACCTATTCAGTGCTAGTCACAGTTACTCTTGCAATGAAAAGGATATTCCGACAAATAAACCCGGCTCCACTTGGTGTTCAAATACGTTCTAGGAAATGTTTCACCTATTTATACCGCGCTGTGAAGTTCGTTGGCTACGCACCACCAAAGCAGGATGTACAGCGATATCTATACTTGTTTTGGTCTTGTTTGGTGTTTACTATTGCAGAGCTGTACGCTCCCGTTGGCCTTGTGCTTAGCCTCATTAAGAACTTTTCTAATTTTACGCCCGGTGATTTTTTTAACGTACTCCAAGTAACTTTTAACGTCAGTGGAGCGACAGCTAAAACCATCGTGGTTTTATTTTTTTTTTCAAGATTAAATCAGGTGGAGTCCATACTTGACATTATGGACGAGCGGCTGTGTAGGGATGACGATCGCCGAAGGATTCACAAAGCAGTTGCTGATTCAAACTACATATTTTTAGTTTACGCTATAATATATGGGACCTTTCTTACGTCCGCATTTGTTATTGGTGTATTAAATGGGCACCCGCCGTGGCTGTTTTACAATCCAGTTTTCGATTGGCATAATGGATCTACCAGATTTTGGCTGCAATCGATCCTTGAGCAAATCGTTGTGTCCCTTACGGGGTTGACGCTTCTGGTTTCGGATACATATCCTCTTATATTTCTTATTATGATGCGAGCCCACATCGATGTGCTGAGGGACCGTATTCGAAATCTCCGCAGTGATCCACATAAAACAGAGGCTGACAACTATGACGAGCTCGTCGGCTGCATTCTGGACCATAAGCTTATTTTGCAGTAAGTCAATCTGACGATTAACTCATGGGATCTCTTTTTAATTTCCTCTCCCATTTCCTATCCTAGATGCTGTAAAATTATGCGTCCAGTTATCTCGGGCATCATATTTGTGCATTTTCAGCTAGTTGGCGTAGTGCTGGGAGTGACCATTATTAACATTTTTTATTTCTCGGATCTAATTCATGGCGTTTCCTCGATTATTTATCTTACGGGCATCTTATTGGAATCTTTTCCCTGCTGCTACCTAAGCGATTTACTTGCCGACGATAGCAAGGACTTATCTAATTTATTGGCTCAATCGAACTGGATCAATGCCGAGCGCAAATATAAGTCCGCCTTGATGATATTTATACAGCACGTGCAACGGCCGATTGTATTTGTAGCCGGTATCGTCTTTCCTATCTCAGTTAACAGTAATATAAGGGTGGGTAGAGCTAAATGAATGTAACACAACACATTGATGTTATTCAACAATATTTTCAGATGGCCAGGTTTGCATTTAGCGTGATGACCATAGTGCAGCAAATGAACCTGGCCGACCGGTTAAAATAGGTTTCCCGTTAAATTTTGATTGAAACTATCATAATTTGTATTGAGTGTTTTTGTTGAGTATTTTTGTTGTTAATTTTTTGTTATTTAAAAGAGAATTAAACACAGATAATGGTTTTGTTCAAATGTGTGAAAAAGGTAGTAGACAGCATCTCCCCATAAAGCTTATTTATACCTGATCAGGCTGACGAGCTAAGTCAATACAGCCAAGTCCGTATGTGTGGCTATAAGAACGCGTTCATCTTGGAAGTTACAAAATATAGAGGATATAGTTATATAGTATATATTCTGGCACATCATGCACAGAACTAGTTTATTATTCTTTGTCGATATTTTACTCCATTTCCCTAGTATCGATAATAATCGAATTTGAGATTTGGTTTTGTAACCACAACTCGAGAATTTTATTAGCTACATTCCCCAAACTTGGAGTAGATTGTCGTAGAGTGTATACAAATGAGGAATGTTTTAGTGTTTGGATATCTCACCCGTATCCCCCAAAATCGAAAATATTGTAATTATTAAGGTATGGTCTTCTTCTTTGGCATTTGCAAACATTTGAGTACCATGTTAAATCCCTAAATTTTACATGGTGTATTTTACTTTATTTCATAAAGTAGCGAACTTATAACAGCGAAGACCACCCGCTGCTTATATGTACTCATGTCCAGTTTACAATATCTATAAACGCTTTCCTTATTGAAAAATTAAAAATTCCGTCACGAAAAATAAGTGTTTGCAAATTCGATTACACTATTTCTATTGACATGCATTTATGGATAATTATAGGTCAAAAGTTTTGCGGGGCGTGACAAAAACATCTACAGTCGCGGGAATAAAGCAGCTGCTCGGGTGAAATTTCATTCGACAAGTTAGTTTCTAGGGGCGTGATTGACACCTCGTCGAGGGGAACAGCTGGTCTAATCTCATGGATATGAACTGAACAACTATAAAAGCTTAGCACATTCCATTCTGGCGACAGTGACACATACAATGGGCAGAATGTTCGACGTTTGAAACGTGTTTCACCTTATTTAACAGGGTAACGGTGCAGTCATTTACATCTTAATAAGTACCCGCAGGAAGGTGGATGCATTTAGTTCAACAAGTGTAAGCTATTTATATTAATTTATTTTATATTATTTATTTTAATTTTTGTATTACTTGTGTTTACTTATTTTAATAACATTTATTTATTTATGTTATTCATATTATTTTATATTTTTTATTTATTTTAGTCATTAATTTGCAATATTTGTTTTATTTATTTTATTTGTTTCATTGTTCATTTATATATTTACTAGCGGGTATATCCCGGCCTTGCCCGTGACACGTGTAAAGTAAATGTCAAATCTCAAAAAGCTTTGAAAATGATTTTGAAACTGATCGGATGGTCAACAAACAACTTTCATACAATCGATTTCCGCCAATTTACCACTGTTGCGGGTAGAATTTCCCAAATCGATGAAACACGTTTTCATAAAATTCTTATGCCGAGCTTTGAAGATAAAGTTTGAAGCAAATCGGAATAAAATTAAAACTACACCAAAATCAAAATTTGAATAGCACTTTCCACCGAAGAAGTTTGGATTTTACGAAAAATGTGAAACCCGTCTCAAATGAGTTTTTATGTAGATCCTTGGCAATGAATTTGAGGGCGCAACGTCACCCACCAAATGTTTGACCCCCATTTCCACCAAGGAGCTGGATTTTTCAAAAAGTGCGAAACACCCCTCAAATGAATTTGAACAAAGATCTTTGAAAATGAGCTTTAGGCCGATCGGATGGTAAAAAAAAAGTTACATACAAACGTTTTTTGGTTTGCTTTATTTATTTTATATATTTTATTTGTTTTATTTATTTGATTAAGTGCATTTGGTTTATGTATTTAATATATTTTATATATTTTATTTATTTATATATGAATGGTCGATAAAACGAGTGTCAACCAAAGCATTTTCTACATAATATTACAAACATTAAAAAATAAATACAAAATTAATAAATTAATGCTCAAAAAATAAACGTAAACAAATTGCAAAATGTTTGAAGAGAAAAAGATGTTAATTTTCTGGCGATTTTCTACAATTTGGATCACACAAATGGACGTGTTTTATTTGCCAGTCCGGCCAGCTGTGCCCCTTTTCACAGCTAATTTTGTCAGTGACGCTATTAGAGCCTACATCTAAGAAGAAGGGTGTAAGTAGGAAAAAGTTCTCTTAAGTAAAATTTAAAATAATCTTAATTTGCTATATTATTTAAGAATATATCATAAATAGGAGAAAAGAAAGTAAAAAGATTGTTAATAAAGTAAAGAACTGTATGCTAGATATACAGAGTGTTAAGTAGATAGGATGAAGACATAGTATTGGGAAAGTAATGGGAAATCACCGACCCGGTGGGGGAAAATTTACAGCCTGTCCGGCAAGCTATGTTCGACGTTTGAAACGTGTTTCACCTTATTTAACATGTAATCCTTATAGAAGCTCATCAAAAAAGATATTATTAAAAAACATATAGAAGATTAATAAAACAAGCTTGGTACGAATAGGCAGTCTTAAGGTAATCAAAATTGGATCATAGTAAAGATACTTTATAGTGAAGCTGATCATGATTCCATATAACCTACGAGGTCAGGGATATCACTGTCTATGTGTTACATAGCTCAAAACAATATTATTATATCCACTGCAAGGCTAGCAAATGTAAAACGTCCTTGAGGCTGTTCGCCCTCGACATAATATTCCACTTCAATTTCAGAAGCAGCACTTTCCATGACAGGCAGCATTAATGTTGGCACGTTCATCAAATTGCAGCTTAGAGAGGCAAATGGAATTACAGGCGGGCGCACTTTATTTCTGTGTTCCTAATGCCAACCGATTATAAGCCCAAAAGACGGCGTACTACCAATTTTGTATCAGCTCATGGAATAGTTGAACAAAAACAAAAAAAAACTATCAGAGCTGTTAGCAAATTTGTGATGTAATGACACGCACGAGCGCAAGGCGCCTGCCACGCCCACACGCCACGTGCGCACAAGTTGCAGCAGCAGGATGCGCCAGCAGCAGCATTAGCTCAATTCCTTGGTCAAGGTTAGCGCAGCAGCAACAACAGCAACTGCAACAACAGCAACTGCAACAACAGCAACAACAACTGCAGCTGAGTAGCTGACAACAGCGCAGAGCGAAGTTAAAGGCAAGTACGGCACGTCGAAGATTAAATACCCTTGTATGACCCTTTTATACACTCAAATTTTAATTTTGGAAAATTCCCACGAAATTAAAAATTTTTGTAAATTATAGTAAATGTTTTCTAAAAATTTAAGCTTTGGGACATATATTTTCTTGTTGGAATGAATTTTTCCACTAAAGCACAAACTTTTTTAAAATTAAGCGAATTTTTTTCAAACTTTATGAGTGTACACATTTTAAATTAAGTGAAATTTTATTTTATTAATTTTTGAAACATTAAAAATAATTTAGTTATGCTTTGCACAATTCGTTACAATATAAGAATATCCTCTACAAGAGTATGCAAACCGGCCGAGTGGGTGTTGTCAGAAATATTGATAAATTGTTTTAAAGAGCATTAGGCACAATTGCTGGCAGGAGCAAAAATGACACAGAATTATTTATAAACCGGCGACGGGCAAACGACAAATGGCGAATTTAATTGCCGACGCGTCGTGGTACTACAGCGGAGACCACATAGTGCACTTGGTTGACCGTTAGATGGTCAAGACGACGACAAAATGGAGCACAAACGTGGCTAATTGTAAATTGTTGCAATTTAAATTGTTGCAAAAGAACAGTAAGCAGCAGCAGCAGCAGCAGAGGCAGCGGCTAACTGGCCAGCCGGCCGCATCCATGGGCCATAAAAATGCTGTTAAGGCCTAAAAGCGATTGTTGCATGCCAACAACAACAACAATAACAACTAGGGGGAACAACAACTGGCACCTATTGAACGGGCATTGGTTGTGTCTTGGGCCCCACAATCGTTAAAAGGCATCGTTAAAAGGGGGAGCCGCTGCCTCGTAAAAATTTGCGCATTAATAAACATTATGCAAGATGCGCGACAGACACAGCAAATGAGGCGACACGTTGCCAGCCAATCTCTGATGTGGCGGCTGCCACTGCCGAGCGGCAGCACCCCTGTGTGAATTTTTCGTTTAATAACTGAGCAAAAAGTCCGAAGAACGTAGAACGTTGAGCTCAAGATGCGAGCACACACAGTTATAACGAGCGGCTGCTGCGAGCGGCAGCAGCAACATTTAACGATGCGTTTATTGATACCGTCAACGACTGGGGCAGTGGCAGCGGCATTGGCAGTGACTGTGGCAGCGGCTGTGGCACGATCACAAATACAATCACAGTCGAGCCGCATTTTATGCGCCTTTATCTCCGTTATCAATACGCTTAGAAATGTATGTTTTACGATCAATGTAATTAATTGGCCAAACGTAACTAATATCGGCAACAAAGTCGCCGAGCCTCTCCCTGGGCAGCCAGTTGTTGTCTGCCAATTGGCTGGCAACTTTCTCAATGTAACGCGGCTTGTAAGGTTTTTACGATCGCATTAAGTGGCTGCCAATTTATGGGCGCGGAAATATTCTCTAATTTATGGTCGTACTGTACTGTACGATACAGTTGAGAGTATACTGTAGTTTTAGCTACCATGGTTAGGATAAGCCCTTTTTTTAAATCAAATATAACATATTTTTAGGAATTAATCACAAATAGAATATGATTAATACATGTATTATATATCTCATATATACATATATTATGTATTAAATATAAATTTTGTATTTCATTTTAAAATTTATTTTCGTAGATGAGTTGTATAATTGCGGAGGTTGTATCTAGTAAGTATTGTGTCTACAGACACTTTCCTAATTTTGTATTTTAGAAAACATTTCTGGCAATTAATTAGTAAAAATATGAAATTATTTTGATATAAGAAATATTGTCTAATACTAATGTGATATTTTGTATTATTTATT